AACACTCTCACAAGTAAATTAAAACAAACATCATCACAATCCGTCAACTGGTTTCGCAGATACAAGCATTTTCTCAAAATTTCATAGAACAACTTTTCCCATTCAGATCATTCTAGTTTTATATTGACGCACACGCTCTCGCAAGTAAACTCAAACAAACATCATCACAATCCATCAACTGGTTTCCTTCATACAGAAATTTATACAAACGTGTCTCATCTTTGTTATATTTTCACGCTCACGATCTGAGAAATAAACCACATAAAATTAATAAAAATCCGTCAACTGGTTTCGCAGATACAAGCATTTTCTCAAAATTTCATAGAACAACTTTTCCCATTCAGATCATTCTAGTTTTATATTAACGCACACACTCTCGCAAGTAAACTAAAACAAACATCATCACAATCCGTCAACTGGTTTCGCAGATACAAGCATTTTCTCAAAATTTCATAGAACAACTTTTCCCATTCAGATCATTCTAGTTTTATATTGACGCACACGCTCTCGCAAGTAAACTAAAACAAACATCATCACAATCCGTCAACTGGTTTCGCAGATACAAGCATTTTCTCAAAATTTCATAGAACAACTTTTCCCATTCAGATCATTCTAGTTTTATATTGACGCACACGCTCTCGCAAGTAAACTCAAACAAACATCATCACAATCCATCAACTGGTTTCCTTCATACAGAAATTTATACAAACGTGTCTCATCTTTGTTATATTTTCACGCTCACGATCTGAGAAATAAACCACATAAAATTAATAAAAATCCGTCAACTGGTTTCGCAGATACAAGCATTTTCTCAAAATTTCATAGAACAACTTTTCCCATTCAGATCATTCTAGTTTTATATTGACGCACACGCTCTCGCAAGTAAACTAAAACAAACATCATCACAATCCGTCAACTGGTTTCGCAGATACAAGCATTTTCTCAAAATTTCATAGAACAACTTTTCCCATTCAGATCATTCTAGTTTTATATTGACGCACACGCTCTCGCAAGCAAACTCAAACAAACATCATCACAATCCATCAACTGGTTTCCTTCATACAGAAATTTATACAAACGTGTCTCATCTTTGTTATATTTTCACGCTCACGATCTGAGAAATAAACCACATAAAATTAATAAAAATCCGTCAACTGGTTTCGCAGATACAAGCATTTTCTCAAAATTTCATAGAACAACTTTTCCCATTCAGATCATTCTAGTTTTATATTAACGCACACACTCTCGCAAGTAAACTAAAACAAACATCATCACAATCCGTCAACTGGTTTCGCAGATACAAGCATTTTCTCAAAATTTCATAGAACAACTTTTCCCATTCAGATCATTCTAGTTTTATATTGACGCACACGCTCTCGCAAGTAAACTAAAACAAACATCATCACAATCCGTCAACTGGTTTCGCAGATACAAGCATTTTCTCAAAATTTCATAGAACAACTTTTCCCATTCAGATCATTCTAGTTTTATATTGACGCACACGCTCTCGCAAGTAAACTCAAACAAACATCATCACAATCCATCAACTGGTTTCCTTCATACAGAAATTTATACAAACGTGTCTCATCTTTGTTATATTTTCACGCTCACGATCTGAGAAATAAACCACATAAAATTAATAAAAATCCGTCAACTGGTTTCGCAGATACAAGCATTTTCTCAAAATTTCATAGAACAACTTTTCCCATTCAGATCATTCTAGTTTTATATTGACGCACACGCTCTCGCAAGTAAACTAAAACAAACATCATCACAATCCGTCAACTGGTTTCGCAGATACAAGCATTTTCTCAAAATTTCATAGAACAACTTTTCCCATTCAGATCATTCTAGTTTTATATTAACGCACACACTCTCGCAAGTAAACTAAAACAAACATCATCACAATCCGTCAACTGGTTTCGCAGATACAAGCATTTTATCAAAATTTCATAGAACAACTTTTCCCATTCTGATCATTCTAGTTTTATATTGACGCACACGCTCTCGCAAGTAAACTCAAACAAACATCATCACAATCCATCAACTGGTTTCCTTCATACAGAAATTTATACAAACGTGTCTCATCTTTGTTATATTTTCACGCTCACGATCTGAGAAATAAACCACATAAAATTCATAAAAATCCGTCAACTGGTTTCGCAGATACAAGCATTTTATCAAAATTTCATAGAACAACTTTTCCCATTCAGATCATTCTAGTTTTATATTAACGCACACACTCTCGCAAGTAAACTAAAACAAACATCATCACAATCCGTCAACTGGTTTCGCAGATACAAGCATTTTCTCAAAATTTCATAGAACAACTTTTCCCATTCAGATCATTCTAGTTTTATATTGACGCACACGCTCTCGCAAGTAAACTCAAACAAACATCATCACAATCCGTCAACTGGTTTCGCAGATACAAGCATTTTCTCAAAATTTCATAGAACAACTTTTCCCATTCTGATCATTCTAGTTTTATATTGACGCACACGCTCTCGCAAGTAAACTCAAACAAACATCATCACAATCCATCAACTGGTTTCCTTCATACAGAAATTTATACAAACGTGTCTCATCTTTGTTATATTTTCACGCTCACGATCTGAGAAATAAACCACATAAAATTAATAAAAATCCGTCAACTGGTTTCGCAGATACAAGCATTTTCTCAAAATTTCATAGAACAACTTTTCCCATTCAGATCATTCTAGTTTTATATTGACGCACACGCTCTCGCAAGTAAACTAAAACAAACATCATCACAATCCGTCAACTGGTTTCGCAGATACAAGCATTTTCTCAAAATTTCATAGAACAACTTTTCCCATTCAGATCATTCTAGTTTTATATTAACGCACACACTCTCGCAAGTAAACTAAAACAAACATCATCACAATCCGTCAACTGGTTTCGCAGATACAAGCATTTTATCAAAATTTCATAGAACAACTTTTCCCATTCTGATCATTCTAGTTTTATATTGACGCACACGCTCTCGCAAGTAAACTCAAACAAACATCATCACAATCCATCAACTGGTTTCCTTCATACAGAAATTTATACAAACGTGTCTCATCTTTGTTATATTTTCACGCTCACGATCTGAGAAATAAACCACATAAAATTAATAAAAATCCGTCAACTGGTTTCGCAGATACAAGCATTTTCTCAAAATTTCATAGAACAACTTTTCCCATTCAGATCATTCTAGTTTTATATTGACGCACACGCTCTCGCAAGTAAACTAAAACAAACATCATCACAATCCGTCAACTGGTTTCGCAGATACAAGCATTTTCTCAAAATTTCATAGAACAACTTTTCCCATTCAGATCATTCTAGTTTTATATTGACGCACACGCTCTCGCAAGTAAACTCAAACAAACATCATCACAATCCATCAACTGGTTTCTTTCATACAGAAATTTATACAAACGTGTCTCATCTTTGTTATATTTTCACGCTCACGATCTGAGAAATAAACCACATAAAATTAATAAAAATCCGTCAACTGGTTTCGCAGATACAAGCATTTTCTCAAAATTTCATAGAACAACTTTTCCCATTCAGATCATTCTAGTTTTATATTGACGCACACGCTCTCGCAAGTAAACTAAAACAAACATCATCACAATCCGTCAACTGGTTTCGCAGATACAAGCATTTTCTCAAAATTTCATAGAACAACTTTTCCCATTCACATCATTCTAGTTTTATATTGACGCACACGCTCTCGCAAGTAAACTCAAACAAACATCATCACAATCCATCAACTGGTTTCCTTCATACAGAAATTTATACAAACGTGTCTCATCTTTGTTATATTTTCACGCTCACGATCTGAGAAATAAACCACATAAAATTAATAAAAATCCGTCAACTGGTTTCGCAGATACAAGCATTTTCTCAAAATTTCATAGAACAACTTTTCCCATTCTGATCATTCTAGTTTTATATTGACGCACACGCTCTCGCAAGTAAACTCAAACAAACATCATCACAATCCATCAACTGGTTTCCTTCATACAGAAATTTATACAAACGTGTCTCATCTTTGTTATATTTTCACGCTCACGATCTGAGAAATAAACCACATAAAATTCATAAAAATCCGTCAACTGGTTTCGCAGATACAAGCATTTTCTCAAAATTTCATAGAACAACTTTTCCCATTCAGATCATTCTAGTTTTATATTGACGCACACACTCTCGCAAGTAAACTAAAACAAACATCATCACAATCCGTCAACTGGTTTCGCAGATACAAGCACTTTCTCAAAATTTCATAGAACAACTTTTCCCATTCAGATCATTCTAGTTTTATATTGACGCACACGCTCTCGCAAGTAAACTAAAACAAACATCATCACAATCCGTCAACTGGTTTCCTCCATACAGAAATTTATACAAACTTGTCTCCTCTTTGTTATATTTTCACGCTCACGATCTAAGAAGTAAACCACCACGTTATATAATGAGACTAACCCTGACTCAGTGGTCTGCTGATCGTAGTGTCTTGAAAAATCAACACGACTTGCCCTCTTCCAGTGCACCCTGTTTACAATGCACTCGAGAAGCTAGCTGTCCTGGTGCAATGTAGTCAATTTTACTGTAATTTTGATTTATATATATATATATATATATATCGCGCATTCACAAAGTTCTTAGCTTCAAGCCTTGTTTCCGTGTCGACTGAACCTGAATCAACTGCGGACTGTAGTAGGACTCACTCACTACCGCACAGTACAATATATACACGTACGTATGTTTACAGCATACTGTGGAACACGTAATGATAAGTGCATCCACGCATTCATATGCACACTAGTAATAGCATACTCACCTGCATACGCGCATACATAACACCCATCTACAACAAATGCAATCAACACGTCTCGTGTAAGAGATAGGAGTTTGTTCTTTAGTTGAACTGTATTTAATTTTATCTCTATCGAAGCGCTGACCAGATTTGTATGGAAAGACGGTGTAACATAAATTCTAAACGGGTTTTTTAACACAATTTATATATCATGTAAGTTATTAACAGCATATCAATTATAGGTTTTTTTCAGTACAGAAGACAGGAACATTACTCATTCACAGGATAGAAATACAAATGTAATGGAAATGAGTGAAGTAAAGTAGGACAATATACTCCAAACGTGAGTACAGATTGATTAAGGGAAACAAAAGATAATATGACAATAGTGAATAGCAACTACATACAATAACATGAATGATGAGATATATCACTTTTGAACTGACATTGTTTTTAAAGTAGCAGTAGTATTTCATATAGTACACGTTATTCAGACTTACATAGATCTACTGACGTACAAAAAAACCACCGACAGACAACAAGAAAGTGTTACAATAAATTGAAGTTTACTCGCTTAGCAATTAGAAAAAAGTTATGAAATTATCGAGAGATAGGGATCTTAAATGAAGTAGTGCACATAAAAATTGGAGTGTCACATTTAGAACAAGAAAAAGTAAAATGTAGACAAAAAAGTATCGAATATATTACCCAGCACCGTTAACTCTAAACCGTTACAGTTGATGACAATGCTGCACGTGTAGACCGTGTAGATGATGAACTAGGTATATGATCTGACTGCTTTATATAATGAGCTCCATTGTAATTATTCATTTCATTAATACTATTAGTTGTATTTGTTGATGTATTCAGTGAGCTAACACTTGATTTCGATTTGCATCGACTTCCAGAAGCATCTAAGCATACACTAGTAGTGACTTCATCGTCTGCAAAGCATCGAAATAATACTTGAAATTAAGTTGGCTAAAACATGCTTTTTTAAAAAAACAGTAGGAAAAAAGAACATATATATTTGGTCATTCCACAGCAACCGATGGAAATGTGAACAATCCGCACAGCAGAAAATCGGAAGTACCTTTTCAAAGTAATTTAAATACTGTCTCAGTTAACTATTTGGTTGGACGTATGTTTCTACGATGAAACATCATCAAAGATACACAAGTATCGTCTTATTGTGTTAATACTATTCTACAAGTCGATAAAATTCACTTCATAACTAATAATTGAACGAAGAGTATTGTTTTCGATAAATTCTCTTCAGGTTCTACAATTATACATCCAAATTAATAATCCGAAATAATGATTAGGTAGTACAGTTACCCTATCTTTGTCATCGAAAGCATTTATGAAAGTTCTCAAAACTAAGGTTATTTAGCTGTCTTTTTCGCATAATGCTAGAGTGATGTGCACAAACGATTTCCCTCATATACTTAAACACGTTGCTCAAACTTCAAAGATATATGCGTAAAGACAATGCATTCTAAACATTTACTTAAACCTAAACAACGAAAATCTCGACTACCAACTAGAGGTTCTAGTTCGAGCGTCGTTAAGTTAACTCCAGACGGAGAGTACTTGATATCTGACTCTATGCCATAATTATTCAATTATTAGAAAACAATCTGCTAAAATGAATATGCCCTACAGTTTAGGAGAACAGAAACAAGGAAACGTTAAATAAGAACACTTGTTAGAACGTACTCTTGTCGTCTGACAAACCTGTATATCGATTAACAGAACTTCTTGAAGTACAGGTTTCACTACAATTCGCTGACACTACTCCGGTATTTTGTGCATTGTTACTACTCATAGATGAGTCCATCTGACAACTACCACCTTTCATGGAACCAATATTACTGATTGAAGTAAGCTGAATGTACTTATGAGGATCTGGATTCGATGTTGCAGTTGACAAAACTACATCAGTGGCACTTTGCATATAGGATTCCGCCAGAATTTCTTGTTCCATAGCCAAACAATCCATAAAATCCCTGTCGAGCAATTAGTAACAGGAGTGTGTATAAAATAAAGCAAAAAAACAAAAGTTCCACATTTACATTCATCACTACACAAAGTTAAAATATTCCCAGAAATCTTGAAGTAAAAACAACAGTCAGGCAAATGTTTATAATTAATTTTCAACTATAATAGCATAGCCTAAATAAAGAATATTATTTCTTATTTACCACATTACGGCTATATATATATATATATATATATATATATATGCTTACGCCTGTTACCTTTTGTGGCGGAGTATAGGCCACTCACCAGCGTTCTCCATCTAACCCCGTCCTGGACAATCCTTTCCACTGGCTCTTCATCCTTTTGATGACATCTTCCAATTCTTGGCGGAGTGTTTTTTTGGTCTTCCTGTTTTCCGTATCCCTTCAGGATTACGAGTTAGCGCCTGTTTCGTGATGCAGTGTTAGCGGGAAATAAACTGGATTTAGGCACGTCATGTGAATGATCGTGACGGTGCACGCTGATTGGCTAATTCTAAACCAATCAGCTCAGGCAGATTATTGGAGAAGCATCTAGAAGCTTCTTATGCATATACTATAAGTATATGAACGTTTTTCTAACCATTGATTGCTGTTCACCTACCCTTGTTATTTTGAATACAATTTCGTTCCTGTTCAACATGTTCTGATTTTGGGGTCTTGTCGAGTGTCATTGTATAAGAATATTAAGCAATAGGAGTAGCTGGGTTGTTTATTAGTAAAAACAATTATAACATGCAGTTTGATTATTTCCGCTTGTCCTATCCACTTTCAGCGTCTTTTTCTAATTTCTTCAGTTGGAAGCTGGTTTGTTCTCTCCCACATTAGGCTGTTGATGGCATCTTACCAACGAAAATTGAGTATCATGAGTAGGACAAATGTACATAAATACTTGAACATTTTTGATTGTGGTTGTGGTAGTTCACCAAGTTTCAGCTACGTATAATACAACTATTTTGACGTTCGAAGTGAATACGAGTTCGTGGGGGAATATTATGACACCTATAACCATTTTGTTGAATGCATATATATTCGCGAATCTCTTACAATCTTCGTCTCTTTTTCGCAGTCTATGTCGTTCAATTATATCTCTATACTCATTGTTGTCCGTTCCCAATGGCATTTAGGTCTCCTATCAGGATAGTCGAGTCCTTTCCCGAACGCTACGCTATGATCGATTGCAGCGTCTCGTAAAACTGATCTTGATGGGTGCATAACATTGGATAACATTCACTGTGATTTTCACCTTCTTTGTATTGAAGGATGCTTTGATTATCCTAGATCCGTGAGATTTTCATCTTATACGTGCTTCTTTAGATGGCATCAGAGCAACTCCTTGTGTGTGGAGCATTTTCTTCCTCGTGACCAGAGTACAGCAGCATTTCTCCCAAATCTAAACTTCTTTGTCCGGCTAGGGTTCAATGGGTTTTACTGAATCCGAGAACAATGAAATTGCATTTATTTATTTCCACAGCTATTTGATTGGTCCTCACGGTCTCCCACTGTCCGAAAATTCCTTGTACCTATATTAGTTGTTGCTCAGGTTGTTAGAAAGGTCATCAGCTTCGTGACTTCCGAAGAATATCAGCTTTCGCTACGAGATGTCATAGTTATCCACAATAAAGATCCTCAAAATTTATTTTGGTTAACGTTTTTTTAGCAAGGTTGTTTTCTACGAGATTTATATATATATATATATATATATATATATATAGAGAGAGAGAGAGAGAGAGAGAGTCAATTGAAATTGAGCGGATCAGTGATTTGTAACGAATGTAAATAGCATATTGAGAAATGACTAACAGTTTTTTCATAGTACCTGCTTCGGGTGGGTGCCCGGGCAGTATCACAGTCCTCACACAAAACAAATGAAATTTATGTGGCGCATATATACCTGGTGCCCCTTTGTAACAATATTTATGTTTAAATAAATAAAACATTCGTTTCATCACAACACCATGTTTCCCTCAACTAATGAATTCGATTTAATAAAAATTACATGCCGGTGTGGTGAATATCATTTGAATAGAGCAGGTTATGATACTGGAATATCAATAAAACAAGGTAAAGTAACTACATAAAACCTAATGTTAAACAAAACAGTACAACCAGAGCAGTTAGTTTCAGATTGTTTGGGAATAAATAGTTAGAAATAACGGGACCAATCATTATAACGGAACCACTATTAATAAACAGCAATGAAAAGAATCCAGATAAATGCACAAGCTGAAGATCCCCCAAACTATGTAAAATTGGGAGGAAGTAATGGGAAAAATATATTACCATATACAAGTTTTATTTGGGAATGTTATCACAATTATATAGATTAACTGAACGGTGTTTCACGTCCAGAAAGTTATAGTTGAGGGCTAAAACCAACCAAAATTGATTGAATAGTATGTTTTACTTTGTCACATGAATACTGACAAAGATGCTGTAAATCGAATCAATAGGGGAATGTCTCAATCAAATTCAGGATAATAAGGACTGTCACTCATCCATGAAAATAATTGAGTAAGCAAATATTTTACTAGACAATTCAAGCCACACATTGTACTGATCAGTCAGTTACAACATAGGATCAGGCACATATATGCATCGGTCTAAGTTCCCGTGTCTCATTAGCACAAGATGAGCCCCTCCGGGGGCTACCCCGGTCCTAATACCGGATAAAGGAGGGTTGGACACGGGGTTAGTGGCCGCATCCCGTAGAAAACTAACTCGCTAAAAAAACGCTAACCTGAAAAAAAATTATTCATTACTTCAATGGTAGTAATATATGAAAGAAAGATTTCATATAAGGACCATATAGGGAGAAAGGATTAGTTCGTAGAAACAAAAGTATAAAGTAATTCTAATCTCATGGTTTTCATACCGACATTGGTGGAAATTTTAGTGATAAGTAGATGTGTGTAATAAGCCACCAAGCATCTAGTTACTGAAAATTATATTTAGATAGACAAAAGACTATGACAGTTGTAAAAAACTTACGCAATGTTAGGATGTGAAGATTTCTTTTTATCTCTACGATATATTCGTGCAAACTCATCATGACGTGCTGTCTTCTTCCAAAGGTAATAAAAATGAATTAGTTCCGATACAGTTTTATGACGAAGCTATAAAATTTCATTTGACAAAAGCAAACAAACAATCAACCGAAGTTAATCAAATAGGAAAAACATGATGGATTTTAATGTATTTAGTAGGCTTTTAATTTTTGAAACTTCAGCTTTCCATTAAAAAACAACTAAGGGTCATGAGTGTGGATTGCTAAACTGAAGAGAAATGTTTGATGCTTACGACTTTCCAATGGTTTACCATATCATCAATTTTTCGATATCTATTTTTCTTCAATTTCCTCAAAAAGTTGTTTAGATTCGTTGATAATAATTGAATTAAAGACAGTTTTTAAGTTAATAAAAGAAACTGATCAGTGAAATAACACGGAAACGTAAAAGAACTATTAAATGTAGGGTAACCATATTTATTCATGTTACATACACCATGGAATTAAAGAAAACTTGAAGCATAAGGGTATGTTTACTGGTAATATATTTTCTTGACGTGATTAATTGAGTAGTTAGAAAGGATACTGTCGCAAGAAAGAAAGAAAGCTTCTCAATCAAACTACTAAAGTTTAGAGTACGCTATACCGACGAAGCGAAGGATGGGTAACAGAAACATTTATGCTAGATTTGTGTACACCATTTAGTATACTAATCCAGAACAAAGCAATAAAAACAGAATAAGTATTTTAGTGGTGGCATTTACAAAGTGAACATAACAAAGAATTGAGAGTGTGTCAGTAGTGGACTACTTTTATTATTCAGCTAGCAAAACTAGTTAGAAAAAAAATGACATCGAGGTATTTACGTTTGTGATTGGCAATATATACTATAATCTTGACGTTTAGCAAAAAAAAGATAGCAACTGAGAAAGACTGAATGCAACATAATTCAACTTGTTGCGATCTACACTAACACGGGGGGATTCGGGAACAAAAATGTAAAAATGTACACAACCAGATTGACTAACTACCAGGTCCATGTTATTCCACACAGTTTAAACGAATGATAAATGACTTAATAGATTTGTGCCATATAAACAGAATGAACAAATGATTGTCTTCTTCAGCCACCTAGTGAACATAAGGAATTTCCAAGCATATATTCATTATGCATATCTCAACTACGGTCAGGTCGAAAGTTACGATTTAACTATGTTATCTAGTCGTTGACGCCTACTCAACGTTTTAGGAGCTATTTCTATCAAATATATCTAAAAATACACATTTCCAACTATGTTTAACAACAGTAAACATGGTATACATAAGGTCATTTTTCCTTTTTATTGAGTAAACAGTTATATCATCATAAAACAGATTCATGCCTATTTACCATTAAACATTGAATATTGCGTCTATAAACATTATGATAGTAGTAACTTGAATCTGACCATTCTATTTGTTGGTATGGAAAAACAGATCTAGATAGATAATGAGGTATTTGAGGTAAGTGAAATCTACTCACTCGTGTCTCTCGGATCTGCCGAAAATCTTTTCCACATAAAACGAAACTTTTCTCAAATGCTGTACAATCGGACTCTGACCATGAATCGAAATAGCCGGGAACAGCTGGGAATGAAATAAAAAAGGACAGTAAATAGAGGATAATGTCTGTCATTATAACAACTAGGTCTATATTCAATAACTACATGAACTGGTTTCACCTATTGGTTTATTCAACCTTACTTTTCTTCATTTCAATCACACTTTGGCCAACATCGAACTCTGAAGTAGATGGTGGCTAGTCTTACGTAATACACAACTCAAAAACTAGTCTCATTTCTCAATTTATCATCTTTATCTCGTACTCTACATGTGACTTCAGCACTGGTCATCCGAAGGTTTTACCAAACAAGAATAAAGATATCTGTAGTGAAACTTAGCGACCTATGAATACATTCTATCTGCTACTAACTTCAATTGAAATATCCAATACACAAAAAAGTTGAGGTCTGAAAACAGAGCTATTTATAATTTCAAAACATCTCTTGCATCTTATGAGAATTCCTATTAGTGGAAATCAGTCAGTCGCAAAATGGGACCTGGTACTTCTGATTTGCGCAAATAAATTGTAAACAAATAATCAGTACAAAAATGAATTAAAGATTAGCGTTGTTATCTAATGTAACATAATAATGTCAGATTAACAAAGGCAATGTTGTGCATTGATTTAATTATATATATTAATTATATTCCATTAAAAATTTATATATATATATATATATATATATATATATATATATGCAGATCGTTAGCATATAAGGATATAGCACATCGACCAATGGCCACTTGAAACGAAATACGCCTATTCACAATTTTCGTTTGTTTAAAACTAAGATAAATGTTTCCAAAAAACGTACAGCACAGTTTACTTAATTTTCTTCCAAATCACATTTTGCCTTTTATATAATAAGTCTAATTTTTTCAAGTGGGTGGCTTTCATAGTGAATACATATTTAATGACCATCTACATTTACCACATAACCAAGACAAACGATCTTTCGAAGAAATACACATTTTTCCGACATGATCAAACTTTGTGAAAATAGATACAAACTATTACACAGTCAAATATGCAAATCGAATTACAATATTAGTGAAAGCAAAAACACCCTATTATCATGTAATTCACTGATTATTAACGCAGAGTCTAGTAAAGATGTGCATTGGCTCCAATCGTTATATCATATTAGTACGACGAGATGGAAATAACAAGATGGATAACAAAAGGAATCGAAATGATGCAGTAGCAATAATGACAAAAAAGTGCAATAGAATTTATGTTAGAAATACTCATGAACGTGTGTACTATTGATAAGCATAAGTATGTAGAGGAATGTACGTAGGAGGAATGCAATTTATTATATGCATTTACAGCATAACAAAAATTAACTGATATGACTGCCTAAGTATATATGTCGCAATTTTACACGGGATACAAGGCACAGACCCTGGCGTAAGTGTGAATTAGCCAAACTCATCATATCAAGTCAATCCAACGAGATGATAATTAAAAATAAATAAGTAGAAATAACTTTACCGGAATTGATAGTGACAGAAACTAAATATTAGAGAATATGGTTCGAAAAGAAAGTATATATGAAGGCGTGTTGAAACTGATGATCTAAAGGAGGATGAAGAATGAATGCATCTGTTCCACTGAAACCGGTTTTAAACTATGTTATCCAATCACTCACCAATCAGTTATTGCGTGGAGCCCAACTAGGTAGTCAGGATGTACCAGCACAGTTCAGTCTAACAGTGAATGATTCCATGGATTGATGCTAGGTTTTGGTTTATCTTCCTCTACTTTTTCCAAACTACACTTACTACAGTAAATATTGTCGATCGACGCAGATAGTGGGGGGGGCAGCATACGACGTGACATGTGCCCCAACCGGCTCGATCAATAAAGATTCCTGTTTTTTGTTTAGCACTTATGCCTGAACTCAACACCGTTCACTCAGTCGTTCCACGATATACGAGCAATTTTCGAAGATACCTATTATCAAAATCTGTACAGTATCGATGCCAAACGTGACTTTAGCTTGACAGTATTATGTACAGATGAGTTTTCAAAACATTTTTAAGATAGAGAATGTATGTCTTAACTATGTAAACAAAACAGATGATTTATATGCATTGAAAATGTGAGACTTTAGAATATGGATATAAAAACATTTAAAACAACAAGGAATACGAGATATGTCATTAATATTCTATTTGCTTGCATGTATATCATTCTTTTGAATGTGAATAAAATTGAGTTTTAAGTTGAAATCAACGAAATAATTGAGAATTAAACTTGATTACTATTCAAAATCTAGCCACGATTATTAGACAAACGACAGAAAACATAAATACACACATGTGTAGACATCGAGTTTTAAAAAGGCCATCATACCAATTGGTGATACTGCTTTAAATTGTAATCGTTGCAGCGCTTCATCCGCATCGTAATCACAACGCATTAACAAGAATAAAGCCTAAAATAAAACAATGGTAGACAATGAAATAGAAAAATAAATATGTGATTGAAATCTTGTTAGAGTGGCTAAGATAACAATTATAAGCTAAAACTGCAGACCTTATTGGTTATTCCTACAACTAAACAAGTGTGCTGACGTGGTATGAAACTCAATAAGACTAGCTGCACAATAAAACATCTAGTATATGCATCCCGAGTGAATATAAAGTAAGACGAACATTCTAATTTGATGAATTAAACTCAAATTGCTTATAGTATTTTCGAGAAATCAGTGTATAAATCAGCATATTTTAGCATTACTACTTTACTTATTAACAAGTAGTAAGGTGGAAAATTGTGAACATAACTGTAAGCATAAAGACCGAAGTTACCTCTTCATCGTCTATTGTTCGTTCATTAGGCAGTGTAGACAGAACAACTTGGGCATATGACCTCTCAAAGCGTGTGACATCAGCTTCACAGAGCTTTTCCGAAGGTTTCCATAGAAGACTAGATTCTTGAAAAATCCGTTCAGAACCATAATATGATAAACTTTCATCACATTGATTATCAATTACATTTGATGCTAGCACAAGCATAGGGATATTTGCCTGATAATCTTCGCCAATTTTTATCTCCTATATAGCATGTTAGAAATATAGAGAGAAAAGAGATTAAGGAAATAAAATGTAGGAAGGAGAGCTTCAGAGAATAAGTAATTTAAGTACGTGATATGAAGTTCGTATTGTTGGTTAATGAATTACAAATATTAGTATGAGGGGATTATGGAGAATGCTGAACATTCAGTTTACATAATGGATTTTCCATTGTTAGAGAACCGATGAAAACGAGGAAGTATTGTATGTAAATTTTATAATGTGGGACTCCTCAGTACTGAGCATTCACGACCCCACACCATGGATCGGATTCAAGACCTGTCTAGAGGTGTGGAGTTTTATACTACGACGAAACAGTGGTCTAGTGCTTTGTGATTTGTAGTGGTCCTCTAAGATTATTTCATGATGAAAACTATAAAGGTAAAAAATACATCGTCTAGATTTATGATTCTCATAAGAGATCGGATTTCTGATATATTATTTCACCCTCAATCATGTGATTTTCCCTGCCATTTATATAATATTCTCTTTAAAACTGTATAACTTTGTTTTGATAAATTGTTTCACGTACATGTTAGTAGCGAACAAAGTGTTAGTAGAAACAGAAGTACTCAGGATATCTGAGATCCAAAAAGATAAGATTTTGCGCTTTGAAAACAGATATGAAGTATCTACAGATAGTATCAAACCAAGCTTTAAATCTTGCACGCTAGATCACAAGCTTGAAGTGACCAATTATTGTTGGGGTTCGAACAGTGAAGTCGAGGTTTTAGAGACATCCTCTTCATAATATAAGACGACATGCTGCACAAAGCAATTTGATTTTGTTTTAAACCCTTAGCTGAGCATGGGAGCTAGATTAAATTAATTAGTTTCAGGCTTTTAGATCTATCCTTCATATATTTAAACCAAAGACATGTGTCTAGCAAGTATTACAAAGCTCATGAAACAGATGTATTTGGTATCGGACACAGGCATTATCATTTTTGGAATGATCCCAGTGTGTTTAAATAAGCACTATAAATGAGATAGTCAGTTTCACAGTAAAGAACGCTATGCTACAGCCTTGTTATTTTATCTTGTTGTGCAGATATTATAAGATGACCACGGCTAATGCATACGTGTGCGAGGCTTTACATCGAGTACGACTGACAGCAACGACAATCTAAAAGACAAAACAACTATTACACCAAAAGGAAATCTACACATTCAGTAAAAGAAATAAATTAATAAAATAAAGTAGTTCTAATATAACTTATTGGAAAAAAACTGAAAAGGAATAAACTAGTAAATGACTTTCAAGTGATAGAGAACAAACCTGAAGTTGAAAGTTCAACGTTATAGAGATCAAAAAATTTAAACTCAAGGTGATAGTGGTGAGGTATTTTAAACATAGAAAGTACTAGCATATTAAAAATTCTTTTATCCACAGCAAATCACTTGAGACTGTTCTCATACAAATTAACATATGATAAAGAATGAATTGAATTTACCAGTTAACCCAAAAATAGGTATTTGAGTTTCATACCAGGATGAAATAACTGTGTAATGCTATTCTATTTTTTAGTGGTTGTCAAGTTGAAGTCAATGTGCGATTTTAACTACAAATTATTTGTTATCAACAAACCTGTAAAACTAACTTTAAGCGTGTATACTATAACTATATTACTTAAAAATAACTAGCATTTATTCTTTTTCTTGTACTTTACTGGTTGATGTTTAACTGCTTTGTTATTGATTGACACAAATTTTATTTGCACGTGTTAAGACTTGTCTGCTGTTGTTAATTTTATTACACTGATTGTTATTCAACAATTATTGATGGTAACCGACAAGTAATACGTCAAGAGACTTCCTCATTAAATCTCCCATTGAGTAGCTGGGTATTAACGGTCACAAAAGTACTGGAACACAAGAAATAAGATGAAGTGAAAAAACCTACACCTTTCCAATCGCGACCACTATCTTCACTTGGACAGTAGTCTTCATCTTCATCTGAATTGTACGAAGGTGTGGTTTCTTGACCTTTTTAAGATGAAAAGAAAGCAAAACTTGTTAGGGGACATAAGTTAGATAAGTAAACTAGTATTGCCATACATTATCACTAGACAAAAGGCTGTACGTGTCATATCTTCAAGCAAATAACATGTACTAATGAGAGAAACGGCTCTAGTTTACAATACAGCAGAGCAATACAAAGAAAAAAAACATAAAAAGATCAGTACAAATACAATGCTAAGTTCCATTTCAGAACAGAGTGAACGCACTTTTATTGTAATGGTGCAGAGGCAAATTAGTTGGTAGGATTTAGTCAGCCATAAATAAAGAAATTTACAAAGAAACGGGGGTGACATGACACGCAAAATAAACTTACGTACACCTGGGGCATAGGTAAACTGTTCTGGACTCTCCTTCCCACTTGTTCTCAAATTCTGTTTATTCTTGTGATGTCTGCCTCCCATTACCGGTGCAGCGTGTTCTTTAGTCTGCCTCTTTTCGTTTCCCATTCAGGATTGCAAGTTAGCGCTTGCCTCGTAATGCAGTTTGATGATGTCTGCAACGCACGTCCTACCCACCACCAGTGTCTTTCCCTAATTCCCTCTTCAATTGGAAGCTGTCCTCTCCTACAGCAAATTATTGCTGTTGATGTCTGCCCAACGGATCTGGAGTGTCTTTTCTAGATAATTGTTTATAAATACATGTACATTTTTGATTATGGTTGTAGTAGTTATTCACGTTTCAGCTCCGTACAATATAAATGTCTTGACGTTCGTAATGAAGATTCAAACTTTGGTGTTGGTTGACAGTTGTATTGAGTCCTTTGTGTTCTTTAACTGTAGGAATGCCACCCTCGTTTTGCCAATCCTTGCATTTACGTCTGCATTGGATCATGCTTCTTCATCGACGATGTTGTCCCGGCACGTGAAAATTTACGTCTTTTCCACAGCCTTCGTATCAAATATGATTTTGTTGGTGCTCATTGTGTTGTATTTCAGGGTTTCGCATGTTTCCTTGTGTATGCTGAGGCCTACTACTTCAGAGGCTGTTGCTACTTCTATGTGATTTCCATGTCTAACTTAAGGGCTTCCGATGGTATGTCGTCTGACCCAGTTGCTTTCCAGCTGCTGATTTTTCTGATGCCCTTGAAGACTTATTCAGTTTTTGATGAGGTAACAAGAAAAGGTCTGTATGTGCTGACTTGATGCCCGGTGAGTTTAGTGCGGGTTGCTCTATTGAAGAGCTCTTCAAAGTGTTTTAACCACCTGTTCCACTGTTCTTGAATCGCAATGAATGACTAGCCTTTTTGTATCTGACTGTTCGCCCTGATTTACTGTGTTTTCTCGCCAAATTATTCGCCGTATCTTAGAGTTGTCTTCTATTACCTTTTTTTGAAGCTTTTTTCATCGTCATTGCTAGGCCTTCCACGTATTTTCGTTTATCAGCTCCAATGCTCCTGTTTACTCGTTTGTTTGCTTCCGTGTATTCGGTCTGTGCCTTGACTTTATCTGCTCTTACTCGGCTGTTGTTGGTTGCTGCTTTCCTGTTCTTTTCTCGAGTCTTCGGGATATTAACAGAGATTCAGTCTTTATGATGGTGCTTCTTGAGGCCAGGAACTCCTGACACAACAAAGTTATTGCTTCTTTAATTTCACTTCAGATGTTCTCCAGTGTGGTTTCCTCCTTTTTTTAGTAGATCTCTTAAAGGTTGGGATTTATTGTTGAGTTGGTTAGCACCTCGAAGGAAGGCTGCATCGAACTTTTGTGATGTAGCTTGTCCAGTTTTCCAATTCCTTCGTAATTCCATTTCTAGCTTGACCACCATCAAATAGGGTCTGGAGCTATATCGCTCATAAACAATTTAATTTTGTGATTAGTTATCGATTAACATTGTATCATTGCATATCATCTAGATCGATCGTTTCAACAAACTAAGATATGTTCAACATCATTAACCTTAAAATAATTCACGGGTTCATCTAAACTAGATCACCATTGAGACGTGTAAGCACTGGACGGTCGTTTCGTCCTTAGCTGTGCGCATCCACGATCCCGCACACGGGACTTAAACCCAAGTCAATGTGGCAAGCTGCAATCCTTCAACTTCATCTAAATCTTGAGTATCATTTCTAACTTCCCATTTTTCTATCTCATTTGTTCTTTTTGATATAGCCAAAATTCACATTTACATATTGAATAAAAAAACGAATAGAGCAAAGAAATATTCCTTTTCAATTAATTTCTTATCATGGCTCTCTACAATAATAATTATAGCCAAGTGACATGTTAGATACTTTAACGAATCCAAATGTTCATAAAAATAACTGGGAATGCTTAGCGAAACAATTAGACGACAAATAATCACAGATACTAGCAAAAAATGAACAAATTAACATGTGGTTCAAGAATTGATAATAACAGATGTGATAAAATGCTTAGTAGGAAATTTAACATAAATGACTTAAGTAATAAGGAATTTGAAAACGAGGTTGTAAGATTGACAAAAAAGGAATTAGTTAAGAACAAAGAAACAAATATTGAAACTATGAGGGAATATAAAGTCGACAAAAAATTAAAAATCTATGAAAAAACTGCTCTTAAAAGACCTATGACCTATGGCCAATGCAGAAAGAAGGGTTGTACAAAATTCTAGATACAGAGCTTAAGTTTCCGGATATGGTTTGCATAAACCATGTGGTAGTGTTAGTGGAATATAATGGATAACTTCAGAAGCTGTGTTCAGGTTCGCTTGATGTCCTATCCCAACCAAGTGTGCGAGAATAGAACTCCTGACCACCTTTAATTTTACTTTGTTCAACCAGGTGGTGTTCCACAATACGGTGACGAAGTTGCTGAACTGTACGCTCGATACAACTGGGCCCACAAAACAGATGAATTGATGAACTGACATGCTCCTTGTGGACCGTACATTTCAGTTGCAGTCAATGTTAAAAGCAGTTGCCATTATGGACTGTTTCGAATCTATGAAACAGTGCTGAATATAGCAGTGGAATCCATGACACAATTTTGGTCCTATTCGGGACTTGTCAGCTGGATGTACATGCATCCCAGTGTCAATGTTCACACTAAAATTCAAACTCAACGCCTTTCGTTTTAAACATAAGATGCGTTATTGAATCTAGATAGCCAATAACTTGGTCGGCAAAAGGTACTGGCTGTTAAGTTCATCTGAAAAATGTACTCGAAGTCGGTTAGGGTCAAAAAACCTCTTTCACAACGCATCCGAATCTCAGAGCATGTACATCCGTCTGACAAGTCCCGAATAGGATCAAAGTTATCTCGTGGATGCCACTGCTAGCTACATATCAAATATACCAAGACTTATGACATGACGGCTATATCGAAGCAAACCACTAAGGATGCACGCATAACAAAAGGCACTGATCAATCCCAATCCTGAATATCAACGAGAAATTACAAACCTTAATTATTAAACAGCACTAGCAAACATATTATTTATTATGAGACTAAAATCAGAGTCAAAGCATAAAGCTAGCATTCATTTTTACTTGTCCGTTGACTTAGTTTGTGAAAATGTTAACAGAGTACCATGATTTCCAGTTGCGAAGGGAAGGTCGATGAATTAATGGTACTATTAAACATTGATAATCACGATAATTGAGTAAGTGCTGTTTGGAACGATTACGAGATCACCTAAAATCGGCGAACGGAACGAAGGATCAGAGACACAGCGAGAAAACAAGCTAAACTATTCCGATGCACCACAGCCCTGCTAACTAGAGATAGAAGACCAGGTTCAGATGAGGGGAAAAGGTATATTCCACAAGCAGTCAGACGCACGAACAGACCAAGTACACAACTCAAGCATGTATACAGTACAAAAAGGTCTTTGAGAAATGTCACAAAATAGCGTATTAAGAGGCAACAAACCAGTGACATTTAGGGTCCTCCCAAGTGAGAAATGCAATCTGAAGCTAAAACTGTGCCTTTTGGCGCGAAAACAAGAAATTCAAATTTCTAAAATAAAATTACAAAAATAAAACGTCTATCAAGTGATTCCCCAACAGTAACGTATTTTGAGGAAGGAAACAATGGGTAGATCAAAAAATAAAAGCTTAGATAGAGGAAATGAAATCAAAGGACGAAGCTTATCAGAACTACACAACATTATTAACGTAATAAACTGAGAACAATCTGATAACACACTTGGTACCGTTTGTTTCTATCTTCCCCCTTGTTGTGTAGGACTGTAACCGATCAATCTCGTGTTGGCATATGTACATCCTGTACGGACTGCCTCGATATTGCCTTGAATTAAATATGAAGAAATCCCATTATGTTTTCTAGTTTAAATGTGTGTGGAAACATACATAGGGAAGAGTAATTGAGACTTGCAAGTTCATGTGACTGCTGAAAATGTACCGAAATCATATAAGAACGGGTAAAGTCAAACGACCTAATAAACGTAGATGACATACACCCATCTTTCTCTATTCCCAAACATAGATGAAACGTCATAGGATGTGTTTTTGCATAAAAGTTGCTTAGGGCGGATATCCAGGTTTGTTGAAGCTCTAGCAAATGATAGATCAACCCACCCCTTAGATATTTAAAAACCATCGGCGCTTACACTAAACCTACACTGTTAAGATTGAATTATTACAAAAAGTGACGTGAATCATTTTTTCATATGATATGCATTTGCCTCATTTTCCGATTTCTCTAGATAAACCTTCATTTTTTCATACATAAATGTCTTAATACGTAAATGTGTGATTGCCCCCAAATGCCCTGGTACGGCCGAGAGTGGGGAGAGTCCTCTCTCCCTCTCGAAATGCTCTCACATGGCCAGTGAATATATAGCCTCTGCCAGGGAAGTCCTACTCACTGCCTTCTCGAGGCGGGGGTGTTGTTTACGAAATTGAGAGGACGAAAAGCGAATGCCTGGCGCTTTAACCGGGTTGGTGGACATGGGAAGTTCACCTAGGGGAGTTAAAGAACTCTTATTCCAAACCAATGGTGCACATGGGCTCCAGTATCCTGAGGGAAGAAATGGCGTACGAATCAATCGTTGATCACCGGCTACCATGGGACTGCATCTCCTCACGGTGCTCCACTGCCTTGTGGATCAGATCTTTCGGTCAAAGGCTCCGGGTGTGGGCCCCTAAGAAAACCACCTACTTCAGTTTGGGCACCTGGGCAGTATCACAGCCCTCAAGCAAATCTCATTTAATTTGTATGGCGCATATGTATTTGGTGTTTCCTTGTACCAATATTTATGTGTTTAAATAAATAAATAAATAATAAATGTGTGATTAGATTCGTTGGAATGTATTGCATGAATATACCATACCACATAGTTTTGACAAACTTTATTTTCTTATCACACTAACTAGGTTCGTCACAGGGACCGATTACTACAGAAAATAAACAAATAATACATAGTAGGGCTCTTAATTGCCAAGATATGATAAAAACTTTAACATTTCCATAGTACCTACATTTTACGTGCCGGTTTCCACTTATTTCTTATTGGCTCCATGATCAAGGTTAGGTTTGCGCAAGGTAATACTTTCAAAATTAATTTCAGTGAAAACTGTAGTCCAATGGTTTAGATGATAAACCATAACAAATGGATAATGTGTTCATATGAAATTTATCCACATTTCGGATTTTGAAATCGAAAGAATAAGCGAATTACCAGTTCAGTAACACCATACATTCTGTTAATATTATCAGCTAAATATGGAATGGTGGCGTATTTTTAAAATACTCGGTTTTCAATCATTAGGTCCCACATTTGAAACTCGCTTTACCTATTTCTACTTAGAGATTCTTGTAGATCGCCTATCCTCAACCAAAACCTATGGGTTAAAATGAATTACATATACTTGTACTTCGTGAATGAGCAAAATTAATCATACGTTACAGATGCTAAGTACACTATTGAGACACAAAATGGTAGAAAAATGATTAAGTTAGTAAACACACTAGACACACAGTTTGGACGCAAAAGCTCAAAATCACTATTATGTACCATATGGTACACGAATAAGAGACTAAAAAACACACATCACGGTCAGACTGAGACTAATTTCCAAATTTTCGACCCGATTTCGAATTGGTAGAGACGCAAAAGCAAACCATCACAGAGTGAAAATCTGGAGGCTTTTGCAGGGAAATTTGGTTCCAAGGTTAATTATCACTTACATAACATGAATTTATCTAGTTTACTCACCAGTAATTGCACTCTTCCAAAAACGTGAAGAATAATCCTGGTTGGCTTCAAATTTATCGTCAGTAGTTTCCTCATTTTTATCGAATTGATTTTCTACATCCAGCTCAAAGTTAGGCACACTCGTATCAATATCCTCTTCCTCCAATCGATTCCCTTCATTAGGAGTTGCACTGTCCAATAATTCAGAAGTATGAATAGCTAGGTTAGATTTTGAGCGGGACCTAAGTAGATGACTACGCGATGAGCTTTTGCGGCTAGTAGTTGAGTCTTCTGAGGCACGTTGTTTTGAATATTGAGGAGTTGCGGTGGCTGAAGGTGGATCGGGACATGATACATCTATAGATACTGGACTAGTGCTTTGCGAACAAGGGACTGAGTGTGGGTGTGGAAACACAGTGAGCTATGTAAAGAAACGGGATATAATATCAATCTTGTAAGATTTACGCCAAACTTCATTTACATTATTAGGAATAAACTAAGATAATTCATACAATATATCATTCCGTCAATTAAGCATTTAATTCGGAGAATTGCAAGAGACTGTAAAAGACAAAATCCAAATTAAATATGATCGTTGCCACTTAGAGTTTATAATGATAATTTGACTGGAGAAACAATGTACAGCTTCGTGCGCTAGTTTATAAACTAAACCAAATGTGTAAAAGATGAAGAAATAACTTTAGCGTCTAAACTAATCGATTGTAAAGCTAGATCATAAAATAAATGAACCGGATTTTCTACCCAAAACTAGTCATTGAATAGACACGAGTGATATGAACGTTTACCCGTAAATCCCAATTGAAGTTAAATTGGTCAATGAATTGAAAATGAGTATTTAACTAGGAACTACTCTAAATCATCGTGTTAGACCGATCTGAAATTTCGTGAATTATATGTTTAAAGCGAAAATGTTGGTACGATTTAACGACAAACAGATCATTAAGATATTTTTAATGGTGTTCATTATGAAACAATATACCTATAAATCTACTAGATGGACATAATTTAAACGATGAAGGTGCGTCAACCTTTTTTCCTGGAATCGTCCTATTTCTAGGTTGGGAATGTTAAATCCCCAGAACTTACTTGGTAAATGGCCTAATTTTGTAATTTTATTTTTAAAATTTGAATTTCCTTGTTTTCGCGCCAAAAGCGCTCTTTTCGCCTTTGAGTCGTATTTCCCATTTGGAAATATCTTCAACGTTGTATCTTTTTAGTGTGCTATTTTGTAGTGCTCCCCAAGGACAACTTTGTACTGTATAAATACGTTTGATTTCTTCCTAGTGTGATTGCTTGTACTTCGGCTGCTTACGGAATATATTTTCCCCTACTTCACCTTGGACTTCTTCCTCTAGTTAGCGGGGCCTGGGAGAACGGATTAGATTAGCCTATCGTGTCACTGTGTCATTGACCTTCGTTCGTTTACCGAGAAATCGAATTAACATCAAGCATATCAGTCTAGAACACAGCTCTCTGTCAAAGCAATGATTTCAGCTGAAATAACAAATAATATATAAATTACACACTGTCAATTCCTGCAAATAACTCACGCAACGTAATGGAGGTGTATCGGCTTTGCTTTTATCTACCAACGCATCGACATCTGACGATGAACGAAAGGTTGGGTAATCAGCTGATAATACCGGTCTAGTTCCTCCAGTAGAAATATCATTACTTCCAATATTTAAGCAAACAGATGCGTGAGCAGCACAACGAAATTTCTTGGCTGGAGGTAATGATAACAATGACTCCTGTGATGAAGCTAAACTTGGAGTAACAGTGTGTCGAATGCTTTTTAAGCGCCCAGATTTACCTCTGGAAACGTTGCTGCAGGAAACTGCAGCAGTGTCGCTTTTGTGTCCGTAAGAGTTTGCAGAAATTCCGTATATAGCTAGGAGTTCATCTAATGACATTTGACTTTCCTAAAATCAAAAGAGTAAAAAAATTGCAAAGCACTGAAGATTTTTCTAACTATTTATACACATGTAAATAGCTAACGCAAAATTGAGTATCGAAATAACGGGAAAATAAAAACATGTATGAACCTTACATCTACTATACCAACCCCGACCGTTGCTGCTACCTTGACGTGGTGGTCGGGCTTGTCTATCGTGATGAACCAATCGAGCTATACTGACTGGAACAATCGTTCCTCAAGGCCCTACCATGTCAGACAGGTCAGTTGAAGAGCGGTAAGACTAGAAGCAGTAAACCTAAGGTACGAAAGCGAAGTCGTACTGCTGGCAGTAAAGTGTTTCCTTCAGACAACCAGAATGACAGCAATGCTGCCTTCCTACAAGGAGGGGTGGGGTTAGAAAAGGTCGACCCTAAAAATGCAGACCTCGCCTTATCCCACGGATTTCCGTCTCCGGCGGTAAGGTCCTTTGAAGAACGGAGCTAACACGTCAAAACTCCCCAAAAAAGGCCGTGTGTGACCGGCCTGAGGCAGTTGTCCCTTGGGCACTGCGGTTACGCTCTCAGGTCACTAAACCCACTTCTAATCCAAATTCTATTTCAAGTACCTCTAGAAAAACTCTTCTACGGTTGGGCAACCGGGAAGTGATAACAACCCTTATACCTCGAGCAGCACTGAAGATCAATGTATTCATAATCAATCACACTTTTCAATTCCCATTATTCCTCCTAACTCGACTTTCAACCCTAAACTTCCTCTCTTGACTTCCTCCTCCAGTGTCACCATAGCCAATGATTCTAGTGCGCAAAACACTGTCCCAGGTCTACTAAAACCTCGCTCAAAACTACACATTGGAGCCTTCAACGTATGTCGTATGGAATAACGAAGGCCAAAGAAGAAGAGGAAGACCACAGGACACATTACGCCGAGAAATGGAGACAGACATGAGGAGAATGGACAAAAGTTGAATAGAACTAGAAAGGAACGTCCAGGCCAGAGTGGGTTGGAGAATGCTGGTCGGCGGCCTATGTTTCATTGGGAGTATCACGCTCAGTAAGTGAATTAGGTGTAAAACCTAAGTGTACAGTGTACATTTCATGTTGCAAGAAGGCGTAGTAATACTACTTCATTAATTTGTTTGTTCTTAAAGTGAAATTATTTACTTTTTTGTCCATTTACGTTCTTGAGGTCGTAGCCTAGTATATCATATATATAGCTACTAAATTTTTAGGTAGTATTTTTTTGAGAACCAAAATAATACTTTTTCAGTCTTTTTTATGTAGAGTTTAGCACAAATGTTCCTTATCTGAAGTTGCTACAATAAATCAGTACAGCAACGAGAAATTAACAACGTGCACAACATAAAAGTAAAAATGAGAGTAGTATCTGTGACCATAAAAGTACTATTTTATAAAATATGACGCAGAAGTGAGATTAAACAGGATTAAACAGTAGGAAATAATATTAAAGCTCGACGTTTACGGAGTAGAGATATCTTGTATCTCAGTAGACTTCAGTTTCATCAATAAACTTGTTATTTCTATCAAGTAGTTTGTGCTTAATCTCAGCATAGCTCACTCTATGGATCTGGCATACATAAGTTCTTCTTTGGAAACATCTCTGACAAAATACTTGCAAAATATACAGCTCTCTAAACTTCAAGGACCTTCTTCATAAACCATGAATCAAATAGAGCGGGCTGCTGCTCAGTATGTGGATCATTTGAAAGACAAACGTATCTTGCCTTCACAAGAAACTAAGCATGCGTTTCTAATCCGTTTTGATATTTCATCAGCCAACCACTTGTGTACGGCTTCTAGGTCTTTTAATATAAATGTTTTTGTTCTCAACCAATATACTCACCAATTGCCAGACCAGGTGTTGACGTAGGCTGATCTTGGTACCAAATTTTGTATTTCGGTGACGAAAAGTGCATCCGAAGCATTTTTGCATTGTATTTAACCATTCAAAAAACTGCAATCCATTTGGAAATAGGCCGACTGTATAGAGGTGTGACGGCAGTAAAGTGTTTCCTTCAGACAACCAGAATGACAGCAATGCTGCCTTCCTACAAGGAGGGGTGGGGTTAGAAAAGGTCGACCCTAAAAATGCAGACCTCGCCTTATCCCACGGATTTCCGTCTCCGGCGGTAAGGTCCTTTGAAGAACGGAGCTAACACGTCAAAACTCCCCAAAAAAAAGGCCGTGTGTGACCGGCCTGAGGCAGTTGTCCCTTGGGCACTGCGGTCACGCTTTCAGGTCATTAAGACCACTTCTAACCCAATTTCCTTTTCAGGTATCTCTAGGAGAACCCTTCCACGTTGTGGGCAACCGGGAAGTGATAACTGCCCTCATACCTCTAACAGCACTCAAGACCACTGTATTCATAACCAATCTCCTTCTTCAATTCCTACTATTCCTTCTACCTTGACTTTCAACACTAAACTTCCTCTCTCGGTTTCCTCCTCAAGTGTCACCATGGCCAACGATTCCAGTGAGCGAAACGCTGTCCCAGGTCTACTAAAACCTCGCCCCAAACTACACAGTGGAGCCTTCAACGTACGTACCCTATGACTTTTATAGAAAACTCTCTGAGCTTCTTCAGAGAGCTAAGCGCTCAGACATAGTACTCGTTTCGGGTGACTTTAATGCCCAATTAAGCAGCTTAAATCAAACAGAAAGACATTTAAGTGAGTATTTTAGTATTCCGGCTCAACGAACCAATAATGGTGATCGTCTGTTGCAACCATGCTCAGACAATCGTTTATTTTTAGCAAGCACTAATTTTAAGCATAAGGAGAGACATCGTCTAACATGGTGACCACCTGCACCAAACCAACGATGGACTCAAATAGACCATATTGTCATCAGTCATCGTTGGAGAGGCTCAATAGAAGATTGTCGCTCGTATTGGAATACTTGTTTAGACTCTGATCACGATTTAATACGAGCGTGCATTTGTCTGCGCCTCAATGGACGCAGGAAAAGTACACTAAAAAGACCCATTAGGATTGAACTGGAGGACGAGAAAGCCAAGTGCGAATTCCAGAAACAACTAAGTTCACATCTAGGCAGTTCTGTAAACAAGACTGACACAGATGCTCCTTGGAAAGACATACGAACAGCTGTGGAAACAGCAGTAACATCTATTAGTCATTTAAACCATAGGGCTCCAAAAAACCAATGGATTTCTTCTACGTCTATTTCACTGATGGATTCTCGCAAACTCATCCCATCAGGCTCTGAACATGACAAAGAGCGTAAAGAAATTAGATCTAGGTTAACTGAAAGTCTAAGGAACGATCGTGGGTAGTGGTGGGCAACGGAAACGAAATAAATGGGAAAGGTAGCCGCAGTAGGCAACATCAAACAACTCTTCAGACTAATAAAAGAAACCGGAACTAGGAAGTCAATTGTAAGCGAGACAACCTCGGAAAAAGACGAAACTTTTATGTGCTCTCAGCCCAGACGTTCAGAGCGATGGGCGGAACACTTCAGCTTTTTGAAGAAGTTCAGGGAGCTTTCTGTAAAAGTCATCTTTCACTTCATCATGGCTGCAGTTAGTGGGAGCGTAGGCAGAAACAACGGAAAGGCAACGATGTGTGTCCCTATTTTTCCGAGTTCTTACGGAGCCATTTAGCCGGACAACACACAGGTGACTGTTAACAATGAAGTAGGTCCCCTGACTCTAGTTGAAGTTCAAAAGCCTATAGGTAATCTGAAACGAGGAAGAGCAGCTGGTCCATATGGATTGGCTCCAGAGGTCGTTAAATATGGTGGTCCAATTTTAGCGACTAGGTTGACTAATATTCTGGCTAAAATCTGGGAGTTGGACGTAATCCCATCCGACTGGTCACAATCACTGATTGTCCCAATAAAAAGGGCCATAATCATCCTGTGATAACCATAGAGGGATTAGCTTGACTAACATAGCATCTAAAATACTAGCCTCAATAATTATCGGGTCCTAGCTAAGACTCGTGAACTGCAAACAAGAGAAAATCAGGCTGGTTTCAGACCTGGTCGTGGCTGCATCGACCACATATTCACTTTTCGTCAGGTTTTAGAACACAGGCATGTTTATCGGCGTCCGACAATAATAGTTTTCCTTGACTTGAAAGCAGCATTTGACTCTGTAGACCGAGAGGCTCTGTGGCAGTGTCTGTGACTGAAAAGTGTACGTTAGTACTACATAAACCTTTTGAAGGCTTTTTGCTCGAACACTACCAGTCGAGTGAGAGCTTATGGCAAACTGTTATTTGATTTTACAACCTCAAGTGGTGTCCGACAAGATTGTCCACTATCCCCATTTTTGTTTAACTTCATTATAGACCTATTGCTGGAAATAACGCTCTCGTCGACTGAATTTCCGGGTTTCGATCTCCTACCAGGAGGTCCACTTATCGACCTAAAATACGCAAACTGCATAGTCCTGTTTGGTGAAGACGCTGACAAAATGCAGGGTCTTCTGTTAGAACTGAGTAATAATGCCAGGATGTTTGCGTTGCGTTTCTCCCCATCCAAATGTAAATTGTTACTCCAGGACTGGCCTGCATCAACACCTGAACTAAGGATAGGGAGTGAAGTAGTCGAACGCGTCGACAACTTCACTTAACTTGGAAGTCTGATCAGCCCTAATGGGTTGGTGTCTGACGAAATCTCTGCACGGATTCAAAAAGCTCGTTTGGCTTTTGCCAACTTACGTTACCTATGGTAAGACGAGATATCCGTCTATCAATTAGGGGACGAGTACACTGCGCAGCAGTTCGTTCTCTTCTACTTTACGGCTGTGGAACGTGGCCATTAAGAGTAGAAGATACTGTCAAGTTACTAGTATTTGACCACAGATGCCTTAGAAATATTGCTCGCATCTGCTGGGATAACCGGGTAAGTAATAGTGAGGTTCGACTCAGGGTATTAGGAAATGATGGTAAATCGGTTGATGAGTTTGTGAATCTTCATCGACTGAGATGGTTGGGCCACGTGTTACGTATGCCTGAACACCGATTACCACGACGCGCTATGCTGACTAATGTAGGGGATGGTTAGAAAAGAGTTAGGGGCGGTCAAACCAAAACGTGGAATCAGTGCTTGAAGTCACTAGCTTCTGATCTGAGCCATGTTGGCAGATTCAGACTACCTGGTTGGGGGCCGCATGACTAACGTAACCAATGGTTGGAGACTCTGTGTGACGTCTCAGAATCGACCACAATGGCGTAGGTATATACACTCTCTGTCTTCTCTTAAACTATAAGATTAAAGTTGCATCATATCTTCCTGTACTATTTCCTTACATGCAATCTTTCCTTCATATACTACCACCATCAAATTAACTACGTCAATGAATTCGGTGTCCATCTTGTTATCCTAATGAGGTATGGCAACTTGTACTGATGCATATATGTGCCTGGTCCTACGTTGTAGTTGACTGATTGACTATACCAACTGTAAGGAAATAAATACAGAAATACAGCATTTTATATCAGGAAGGGCTAAATGCGATGCCTTCCAAAGTGCTGAAGGTATGCATTTTGAGAACATTCACCAAATAAAGTTAAACTAATAAAGTATAGCTTTTATGATATGACTTCCAACAATTGTGTAAGATATAACAGGGGTTAAATGGTATTTAAGAACTCTAACATATGGTGATAAAAGTTAAAGTTGAGTGAATTTTGTGTACAACTGACTGACTTTTGATAAGAACGCATAATACCAGACCTTATATAGCCCACACTTCTAGGGTTTTAAATCAAAACCAATGTTATTATTAGACTACTTAAACTACAAGTTATTTTATGCATAATGGGGCTGTGTATATGATCTAATCACCAGTGCTAACGTACCTAGGTACAATGTCAGATAATTTAGACTCCCAAGAGACATTCCTTCTCGACAGGCTTGATAAAACATGAAAACTAGGTCAACGCTTTCACTTATTGTCTTGAAACAAGTTAGCAACAGTAAGACTAATCGTTGATCCATTTTGAAACCTTATACTTCAAAAGAACTACTGTGATCGAATTCAGAATATAATGAAGTTTAGAAGCAAAAACTTCTCATTTGGTTATTTTTCACACTAAATAAGGTTAGAAATGCTGTATGCAACATAATTACAGCACGAAACATTTTAAGCTGTGCAGATTAATTTAACTCACTTTCATTAGACTTGATACTTCTTCCTCATCAGCAGCATCTTCCTCCGGAGGAATACTGTCATCATCTTCCACCGAAACATCTCGTTCGTCAAAATCACTATCGCTCATTCCATCAGCTTTACGTACGGTGCCATCTAGATAAGGCCCAGGATTGTCTGTAGATCGATCAGCTGTTTCGGTCGTGCTGGGACCATAATCTGTCTGATGTTCAGACGACTGTGAACCAGGTAAAGTTGGTTCCCGACTTTTTTCAGTTAACATGATTTGTGATATCCAGGTTTAAAAAGCTATTTACATAAAGTTCTGTAACGTACAAAACCAAAGGATTCCAGGGATCAAATATACTACCTTATACATCGAAACAAAACCACAGAACGTCAGTGATAGAGATGTGTCGTCTAGATGGAACGATTATTTCCAGAAATTAAATTGCCATCTCAAAACGTCAAACATCCAGGCCAACTGTCTGCTATGTTTTACGTTAGTAAAGTAAGTTTCTAATCACGAATTATGACATTTTGAAATGGTTTTCATAGATAGCTTACAAAGGTAGAAAAACTGTCTGTATAAGCATCAAGTAAAATTCATTTGTTGGTCTGTCTTTTAACATTTGCTTTTCCTTATATACTCTATGAGGTTTATTAGGTGATTTGAGCAAGGCTCTTGGTAGACTCAATTCAGTATGTACTGGAAAAACTGCCAGTCAGTTGCGACATCCATGAACGAAATAATAGTTTGTAAAACAAAGCTTAAAGCACGGTGGTTACATGCATTGACCTTTCAGTCAGGATGAGGTTTATGAACTCTATTAGGGAAATATAAAATAAAATCCGACCGTTGCTGCTACCTTGACGTGGTGGTCGAGCTTGTCTATCGTGATGAACCAATCGAGCTATACTGGCTGGAACAATCGTTCCTCGAGGTCCTACCATGCCAGAAAGGTCGGTTGAAGAGCGGTAAGACTAAAAGCAGCAATCCCAAGGTCCGAAGGCGAAGTCGTACTGCCGACTGTACAGAGGTATGACAGCAGTAAGGCGTTTCATTCAGACAACCAGCATAACAGTGATGCCGCCTTACTACAAGGAGGGTTGGGGTTAGAAAAGGTCAACCCTTGAAAATGCACACCTCGTCTTATCCCACGGATTTCCGTCTCCGGCGGTAAGGTCCTTTGAAGAACGGAGCTAACACGTCAAAAATCCCCCACAAAAAGGCCGTGCGTGACAGGCCTCAAGCAGTTGTGCTTTGGGCATTGCGGTCACGCTCCCAGGTCGTTAAGACCAACACTAATCCGACTTCTTTTTCAGGTCCCTCAAGAAATACCCTTCCACGGTGTGGACAATAGGGAAGTGATATTAGCCCTCATACCCATAACTGCACACGAGACCAAGTTGGTCACTTTCAAATCCTTCCTACTCCTAATAAATATCTTATCTCCACGACTAACCCTTCCCACGTCCTTCTATCACCTCGCACCGCTAGGGCAAACGATTTGAGTACACGGAACGTTATTCCTGGTCTCCTGAAACCACGCTCTAAAATACATATAGGAACTTTTGATGTCCGAACATTGTGCCAAATAGGACAACAGGCTTCCTTAGCTAGGACTCTAGAATCTTACACCATAGATTTGTGCTGCGTCTCCGAAACGCGCATACAAGATACGAGTAGCGTCATTCATTTGACCTCGCCTAATCTAAATAAAGAACCATCTCGATACACGCTTTGTGTATCTGGAATTCCTGATGCTGCTTCCCGTGGCCTCGCTGGAGTAGGTATAGCATTAAGTCCTAGGGCAGAACTAGCTCTTTTAGACTGGATACCAGTAGACAGTCGTCTATGCGCTGTCCGACTCGGAAAGATAGGGAAACTCGTCGTTGCCTCTTCGCCGTCTCTGCCTACTCTCCCGCTGACTGCAGCTCAGACGATATAAAAGATGAGTTTTACAGGATACTTCCTGACCTTCTCCGAAAAGCTAGGCGTTCTGATGTAGTAATAGTGGCTGGTGACCTTAATGCTCAAGTAGGTAAACTAATTGAAAGGGAAAGAAACCTGGGTGGATCTCATGGTGTAGTGGCTAAAAGGACAGATGATAGCGATATAACAAAAAGGCAGCGTCAATAGGCAAAAGCAGACAGCTATTCAGACTTATTAAAGAAACCGGCATTAGGAACCCAACTATTAGCGAAACTATCTCAGACAAAGATGGGCATATCATTCATTCTCAATCCACGAGATTGGATCGATGGGCAGAACACTTTAGGGATCAGTTCAACTGGCCTTCAGCCACACTTCAATTACCCACGATCCCCAGTCGTCCTGAATGGCAAATTGAGGCAAGTCCTCCAACCCTCTGTGAGATTGAAAAAGCTATAGGTAATCTAAAGCGAGGGAGAGCCGCAGGCCCTGACAGGTTTACCCCTGAGATTTTTAAGGATGGTGGTCCAGTACTAGCAACAAGATTGACTGAGGTCTTAGGTAGAATCTGGGAACTGGACGTAATTCCATCTGACTGGTCCCAATCACTGATTGTGCCAGTCTATAAGAAAGGACAAAAGTCCTCCTGTGACAATCACAGTAGAATCAGTTTGACTAATATAGTGTCTAAAATATTAGCTTCAATAATACTTGGACGCTTAACCAAAGCTCGTGAAGAGCAGACTAGAGAAAACCAGACTAGTTTTCGACCTGGACATGGTTGCATAGATCAGATATTCACACTACGTCAGGTCCTAGAACATAGACATACATTAAGACGCCCCACAACAGTAGTATTTCTTGAACTTAAGGCGGCGTTGATCGTGAGGTTTCTATGGCAGTGTTTGTCAATGAAAGGAGAACCAAAGAAGTACATTAACCTCATAAAGGCTCTCTACTCGAACACAAATGGTCGAGTTGGAGCCTATGGCGAACTGTCATCAGAACTAGTTACCTCAAGTGGTGTTCGTCAGGGCTATTCACTCTCCTCATTCTTGTTTAACTTTGTCGTTGACATGCTTTTAGAGATAACACTTTCATCATCTAAATCTCCTGGAGTTGAACTTTTACCGGGAGATTCACTTGTTGACTTAGAATACGCCGATGACATAGTTCTATTTGGTGAAGACGCTGACAAAATGCAGTCTTCTGACCACTATGAGCAACTATGCAGACATGTTCGGAATGCGATTCTCTCCCTCGAAGTGCAAAATGTTACTTCAAGATTGGGCTGCATCGGCACCTGAACTAATGATAGGGAATGAAGTAGTTGAGCGTGTTGACCGCTTCACTTATCTTGGGAGTCTCATCAGCCCTTGTGGTCTGGTGTGTGACGAAATCTCAGCACGGATACAGAAGGCTCGTCTAGCTCTCGCCAACTTGCGTCATTTATGGCGTAGGCGAGATATCCGTCTAGCAACAAAAGGACGGGTTTGTTGTGCAACAGTTCGTTCCGTCCTACTTTATGGCAGTGAAACATGGCCGATAAGAGTAGAGGATATTCGTAGGCTACTAGTATTCGATCATAGGTGTCTTCAAAGAATTGCTCGTATATCCTGGAACCACCGAGCCAGTAATGCAGTTAGGAAACGGGTACTACGTAGGAATGGCAAGTAAGCCCCCAAATGCCCTGGTATGGCCGAGAGTGGGGAGAGTTCGCTCTCCCTCTCGAAATACTCTCACATGGCCATGCGTAATATAGCCTCTGCGAGGGAAGTCCTACTCACTGCCTTCTCGTGGCGGGGGTGTTGTATACGAAATTGAGAGGACGAAAGTGAATGTCCGGCGCTTTAACCGGGTTAGTGGACACGGAAAGTTCACCTAGGGTAGTTAAAGAACTCTTATTCCAAACCAATGGTGCACATGGGCTCCAGTATCCTGAGGGAACGAATGACGTATGAATCAATTGTTGGTCACCGGCTTCCATGGGAATGCATCTCCTCACGATGCTCCACTGCCTTGTAGATCAGACCTTTAGGTGAAAGGGTCGGGGTGTGGCCCCCTAAGAAAACCACCTACTTCAGTTTGGGCACTTGGGTAGTATCACAGTTCTCACACAAATCTCATTTAATTTGTGTGGCGCATATGTATCTGGTACTTCCATGTACCAATATTTGTGTATAAATAAATATAAATAAGGGATGGCAAGTGATATATCTGAAGCGTTACGAATTCACTAGTAACGAACGGAACAAAGACACGTGACCAGAGACCGATAACTAGCTATACTGACGCGACCCAGACCCAGCTAACTAGAGTAAGAAGTCCAAGTTGGAGCGGGGAAGTTATATTCCGTAGCAGCCAGAAGCACAGTAATCAAATAAGGGAAAAAGTCAAGCGTATTTATACAGCAACGAAATGTCCTTGGGCATCGTTAATAATTAGCACACACAAAGAAACAATGGACCGATAGTGTTTAAGATAGTTACAAGTGGGAAATATGATGTGAAGGTAATAAGAGCACGTTTTGGCGCGAAAACAGCTAAATTCAAATTTCCAAAATAAAATAACAAAATTGAGCCACTTATCAAGTAAGTTCTGGGGATTTGACATCCCCAACAGCAAGTCAATTGATAATGAAGTGAAACTTCATCAGTTAAGATGGCTGTACACGTGTTACGTATGCCCAACCACCCACTGCCCCGAAGTGCGATGTTTTATGGTGTAGGAATAGTTGGGAGAAAGCTAGGGGCGGCCAGACAAAAACATGGCTCAAATCCATGAAGTCACTGACAAGTGGACTGAGCCATGTTGGTAGGTGTAGACTACCTGGTTGGGATCCGCGAGATGATAGCAATCGATGGTTAGACCTTGAATGACATAGCTGAAAATCGTTTGCAATGGCGAAGGTGCATCCACTCTTTGTGTTCTGCCGAATTCTAATCTTCTGAATTCTTCATGTCCCTGTCTTTTTTTCTCTTTCCAAATATACTTCACTGGATTATACTTCTTGAATAACTTCTTAAACCCTAATCTTTCACATTAATGCTTATACTCTTACTACTTCTACCACTACGGAATTGGAATCGCCAATTGCATCTCTGTGCTGATGTGGTGTGGCAACTCGAACTGATGTACGTACGTACGAAGTTCTACATTGTGATTGACTGACTGACTGAGTTTGATGTTCAAAATGGTTCAAGGCAGGTTAATTTTATATTCAGTCAGTCAGTCAGTCAGTCAGTCAGTCAGTTACAACGTAGAACTTCGTACGTACGTACATCAGTTCGAGTTGCCATACCACATTAGCACAGAGATGAAGTTGTCGATTCAAATCCTATAGTGGTAGAAGTAGTAAGAGTATAAGTATTATGTGAAAGATAAGGGTTTGAAGATGTTATTGAAGGAGTATAATACGGTGAAATAAATTTGGAAAGAGAAAAAGGATACGGACATGAAGAATTCAGAAGATTAGAATTTGGTAGAACACAAAGAGTGGACGCACCTTCGCCATTGCAAACGATTTTGGACCATGTCATTCAAGGTCTCTAAACATCGGTTGCTATCATCTCGCGAATCCCAACCAGGTAGTCTACACCTACCAACACGGCCCAGTTCACTTGTCAGCGACTTCATGGATTTATGCTGTTTCGGTCTGACCGCCCCTAGCTTTCTTCCAACCTGCTACTACACCATAAAGCATTGCACGTCGGGGCAGTGGGTGGTTGGGCATACGTAACACATGTCCCAGCCACCTCAACTGATGAAAATTCAGTACTTCATCAATCGATTCGCCATCCTTACCTAGTACCCGTTTCCTAATATCTGCATTGCCCCCAAATGCCTTGGTACGGCCGAGAGTGGGGATAGTCTGCCTTCCCTCTCGAAATGCTCTCATATGGCCACGCGAATATGTAGCCTATACCAGGGAAGTCCTACTCACTGCCTTCTCGTGGCGGGGGTGTTGTTTACGAAAGTGAGAGGACGAAAAGCGAATGTCCGGCGCTTTAACCGGGTTGGTGGACACGGAGGGTCCACCTAAGGGAGTTGGAAAACCCTGATTACAAACCAATGATGCACATGGGCTCCAGTATCCTGATGGAACGAATGGCGGACGAACCTGTCATTGGTCAACGGCTACCATGGGACTGCATCTCCTCACGATGCTCCACTGCCTTGTGGATCAGACCTTTTGGTCAAAGGCTCGGGGTGTGGCCCCCTAAGAAAACCACCTGCTTCGGTTTGGGCACCCGGGCAATATCACAGCCCACACACACAAATAGTGTGGCGCATATGTACCTGGTGCCCTTTTGTACCAATATATATGTGTTTAAATAAATAAATAATAAATGAAGTAACATTTTGCACTTCGAGGGAGAGAATCGCATTCCGAACATGTCTGCATGGTTGCTTATCGTGGTCAGAAGACTGCATTTTGTCAGCGTCTTCACCAAATAGAACTATGTCATCGGCGTATTCTAAGTCAACAAGTGAATCTCCCGGTAAAAGTTCAACTCCAGGAGATTTAGATGATGAAAGTGTTATCTCTAAAAGCATGTCAACGACAAAGTTAAACAAGAATGGGGAGAGTGGACAGCCCTGTCGAACACCAATTGAGGTAACTAGTTCTGATGACAGTTCGCCACGGCCTTTTTGTGGGGGATTTTTGACGTGTTAGCTCCGTACCTGTTGGGACCTCACCGCCGGAGACGGATATTCGTGGAATAAGGTGAGGTGTGCATTTTTAGGGTCGACCTTTTCTAACCCCAACCCTCCTTGTAGTAAGGCGGCATCACTGTTATGCT